TCTCTGTTAGTCTTTCCACTGTTCCAACAGTCACAAACCAGAGAGAGGCTGCGTGTGAAGCCATTCTCTGCTCAGGACACCATGACTCCGCTATATCTTTACATAGCGAATAGTTGTTTGCAGCTATATTAATGTTCTAAATGTCACGCATATAACCTTTAAAATATTCCACACATGTATGCATTTGATATTGAAAATACACATCTCAAGGCTGGATGTATGTGTTACTGAGTGAGTCCTGTTTGTGTATAGATACAATCCCCTGCATGCTGACTCCATGGTCTGACTGGAGTGACTGCAGTGTGACTTGTGGGAAGGGTATGAGGACACGACAGCGCATGCTCAAGTCCCCCGTGGAGCTGGGAGAGTGTACAGAAGAGTTAGAACAGGTGGAGAAGTGTATGCTACCAGAGTGTCGTAAGTATAAAAATCTAATTTCTCTGTTATCTCACACTTCATTTTTGTTTTGCAACTTGGCACCATAATGCAGATACATACACTACTGGTTGAAGTTACTTCAAAGTGCAGAAAAAGGAAGTCAATCAATGTACTGTACCTACCTATTTCAAATTTACAGTAATTTAGTGTTTACTGGTGTGTATGAGAGGTAACGGGTGAGCTGTGAGTTCACATGTGAGCTGGAATTAAAACTCATGTCAATGGCATAAAAGGACTTGAAAGATATAAAGTGTTTGCAATGAGAGGTCTAACATTAGCAAGGGAATATAAAAAATACTATAAACATTGGACATTTTATTGAGGTATTGGTATTAGTTTCAAAAAGCCAGTATCCGTTTGGATATACTTTTTATTCACCGTCTCTGTTGCTTACTGTATGTAACAGTTACTCCATATTGAGTTGTGTGGTTATCAAAAAACAACACACGAAGCAGAGACATATTTTTTAAGAAATACACTCTAATCAGAACTTGTGTTGGCATCTTTATCCTCCTCTCTTAAGAGAAATGATATTTGCAAGAGCATTTATTTCATGTCAGTGCTTATTAGTTTACAGCAGTGGTGAGGATGCTACATCAGACCCATGTGGTTTTGTGAAAACAAATCACACCCTCTGGCAAACCCAAACAGTGTTCTCTGTGGTGCCACTGTATAATTTAAGATAAAACACACTACACTCCCTAGACATGGATTCATACATAATCCATGACTTATAGTTACCACTCTCATATTGGTATTATACTCCATCACAACTTTCTCCAACTTTCTTTTTTCCATTTCTGTCGCCTCAGCTATAGATTGTGTCATGACAGAGTGGACTGAGTGGTCCGAGTGCAATAAGTCCTGTGGGAAGGGTCATACGATCCGGAGACGCGTGGTGAATCTGGAGCCTCAGTTTGGAGGAGACCCCTGTTCTGAAACCATCCAGAGGAAGAAGTGTAAGATCAGGAAGTGCAACCGAGGACAAGCCAACAGCGATGAGAAAAAAAGGCGCAAGGAACAGCGTGAAAAGAGGAGGAGCAAACAGGGCAGAGCTGAGGTCACCTCCGAACATCCAGGTTGGCATCTGACCTCATTACATTCAGAACTCCATCACCACACATTCGTCTGACAGTCTCTCTTCCCTTTTCTTGATTTAGGGTGTAAAATGAGGCCGTGGTCGAGTTGGACAGAATGTACCAAGCTCTGCGGTGGAGGTATTCAAGAACGGCTCATGACAGTGAAGCAGAGGTTTAAGACTGCCCAGCTGTCCAGCTGCAAAGACAGGAAGGAGATCAGGGCTTGTAATGTGCACCCCTGCTAGGAAGGAGAAGAACTGGGGTTGGTGTGGAAGGGAGGGAGGGATCACAGTGGGGCAGGGAACAGGGCAGGGCATGGTGCACCGTCACACAATGATCTAATGCACTCTGTTTAGGGCTGAAATGGCACACACTTGAATCTGAATTGGTTAAATCCAGAGCTCAGGTCGGTTATCATCAAGAGAGGATGAACTTTAAGATCTCACTGGACAACTCTGGATTTAAACTAGGCCGATTCTTCTGTGCCTTTAAACTAGCTCTGATAGGCGTACGGCTATTTGCAAGGTTACTGTAAACTTGTTGTGGTAAAATATTGAAAAATATAATTATGAAATATACATTTAATAATAAGATAAAGAACTGTTATATCTTGTGGTATCCTTAAGTAGTACACTATATTCCAGACTTTAAAGCACAGGTGCCCAGCCATTCCAGTGTTTTATATGCCTTCAATTGTTCAGTTGTTTCTAGGACACAAAATGCCCAGTTGACTTTTTACCCAGCTATACTGTTGTACATGTAGATGCACCATGATTGAGATCTATATGATTTTGAGCATTATTAGAAGATTTTGTTACTTTTTTGCTGTGGAATTTTTTGATAAGAATGTGTCCCAAGATTCTTACCAAAGTCTTGTGTAGATGTTTTCTAGATCTCTTCCCCTCATTTTCTTTATCTCTGTTCCTCTAACATATTAATATTTTGGAATAATATCACCTTTACAATAAAAGTAAATGTGACAACTTGTCACCTGGATCTGTCTTTTTATTTGGGGGGTGATGGAAGATGTAATGTAGGCAGTTGATGGTGTACTCTTCTGCTGCCACTAGATGGCAATAACTAGCTTAAAGCCTTTGCCTTTCATAAGGAAGCTGGTAATTCCTGAGGCTGCTTGTTCCAATGTCAATGCTGTACCCCCCTCCCCCCCCTCATATGTGTAATGGCCACAAGGGGGCAGTATGATAAATGGGAGATCATTACAGAGGGGTAATTTATTTATTTTTGTATAGTCATTTTATAAATAATACTTGAAATCTGCCTGAAACTGATAATATGCCTTTGTCATTTATACAACAGCAAACTACATAACTCCTAGTCAGGTAGGTCAGGTCTAGTAAGAACAAAAAATAATTTGACAGTAATGGCCTTTTAGCCAAAATGCAAAGGTCTTTTGTTGCTCTACAGAGAGGTTGTAATCTCACTTTAAAGGAACACAGAGGTTGGAGTGTAGTGAGTTTTAATATACATGTGCTGGATGAAATCTTGAAAGAATCTACCCGGCTCTCTAGTGGAATAGGTGGGGGGAGGGGATGGCGTCAGGCATTCCTCACTGTGGAACTCTGGGAACAGGGGTAAGAAAAATTCAATACACACACATAACAATGCCATCCCTGTTTCCATGCCAACACAGCCACACATGGGGGAAGCCTAAACACTTCACAGGCGATGGAAACATGGAAGGGGATTTATTACAGCCTTGATTGAGCTGTTAAAACAGAAATTGCTGCGGAGATTGTGACAAGAGGTGCATGCATTTAAAATAAATAAATAAATTAATGTGTATTTGTTTATCTTCGTGAATATTCTGATTGGGAAAGACTTCTAGACCTCATCCAGTCTAGTACAATGCAGGGCAGCCTCCTGGTGTTTATATAGCCCATCTACAGTTAAGTAAGATCAGACTTCAGCTCAAAAATGCAGTTATGCCTAGACCTTGCATGTCTCTGTGATATTATAATGAGTTTCCCCTGTATGTGGACACATTGATGAATATTTATATTCTGGGGGCAAACCACACTGCTGACATAGAAACTGAACTATTCCTCATTTAGCCTGTTTCTGACTGAGCTTCTAAGGTTTCAATAACTGTAAGGAAAATGCAGGTCCATGACAGGGGACAGAGGTACTCAAGCCTCTCAACCACATGAAGGTAGCATCTTTTTGCATCACTCATCCAAACCATCATCTTTTTCAAAGACTGGCTTTTATTTTTGTGCCACAAAATCTTTAAAAGGCAAGATTTGTGTACTGTAAGTTACTGCAACACCCTATCCTTATTTATGCCTCAGGCACAACGCTGACTTAAGCATACTAAAATGTGCACACTGACAATGGTAAAATGCTGATTTTCTTTTGTTTTTATGTTTAGTAGCATGCTAACACTTGATAATTAGCACTAAACACATAGTACAGATGAGGCAGATGGGAATGTCATTATTTTTGCAAATATTTTGTCATCAAACAAAATATTGGAAAAAGTGAAATACTGATCTGATGGCCCAAGATGAAAAGTCACCAAAGTAATTTCAATTCATCCTGAGGATGACTTGAATGTCTGAACCAAAATGTCATGGCAATTGTTCAATAATTGTTGAGATATGAGATCATGAGAGATTATCAAGAATGTATCTAATATAATAAATCAATTGTATAGCTTTAGAAGCCATTTAACCCACTAAATAAATAAACAATTTATGAAAACATTACACAATGTGCTTTAAGTTTCATTCAACTATTGTTTTCATATTTCAGTGTGTGACAAATCAAAGAACAGTTCCTTAAATTTATAATAAAAAGCTCACTAAACAACTCACTGTCTATATTTTTGTGTCATGGTTACTCCATAAAGTTGACCACGTACGTGCTTATTATCACTCTAGGTATGTTGTTGGATTTTCAGGTAGCCTCGGACATTTTTTTCAGAGCAATATGAAAAAGTTGGAGGAAAATTTTCAACTGAAGTAGATCCTAGTGAACAAGGAGTGAGAAAGAAAATACATTTAATGTGACCCCATGGTGGTCTTACCTCCTAATTAAAATGGCAATGCTCAAACACAAATGTGTTTTCTTCCTCAACAACATCTCTGCCTGGTAATTCAATTTTCAATTCCGATTCCAATTCGATTTTATTCCGCGTGCGGGGGCCGTATGTGCTGCAACATAGACAAAACAGTGTCAGCTCTCAGAAGTGGTCGCACCCAATCTGTGCAGCCAGGGTCGGGTGAGACGCCGAATCGCGTACTGAACCATTTACAGAGGACCCAAAAGTACCACCACGAGCAAGCACTTGGCGACGGGGGCAAGGAAAAACTGCCTTTTAACGGGCAGAAACCTCGGACAGACCCTTCGGCTCTAGGTGGGTGGTCATCTGCCTTGACCAGTTGGGGGAGAAAGAAAAGGAAACAATTTTATAAAATAACAAAAGTTAAATGATGTTTCATGTTTGCCCTTTTTGTTTGTCTCCTACAAGCTTACAAGCTAATCTTTGAATTAATTAAATTTTCCATAGCTATATCTGCTGAAACAAAATATGTTGTGCTGTAAGTTATTGTATGTGGCGGCTCACTTCTCAGCATGATTACACAATTGTTACCTAATATGATTATGAAGCTTTTTAATAATTTAAGCTCAATAATGATACATAATTGCCCCTTAACCCTTTGGTAATTTACACAATGATATACATGTTAATGAAGCAATATATCACCAATATTTCATGTTTAATAAATCTTTTCAATGCATATCTTTACATATAAACAAAGAGTAGTCTTCAGATTGACACATACAGCAAGCATGCCTCATACTGGTATGGCATCTGTCTGATGTGACAAGCTATAATTTTTGTTGAGCAGTTTAAACAATAATTTGTCTCCCTTTAAATCATTCTCAATGGGAGAGTAAAACCTCAGCTGAATGGGGTGAATTGGTTATATAAAGTGGTATTATTGTTTTCTTACATTTTGACAGCAGACATTTTGTTTAGCTTTGTAAAGGCAGTGAGACATGAGAGAGAGAGCTTTGTGGAACTAGGATGGCGGGTGATTGAGTTGTGTTCACTTTGATTTGATTTGCCTTCGAGCATTTTCAAATGTGACCGGGTCAATCTATTCATTGACAAAACATACAAAAGGAAAGGAGAAATACATAGAGCAACCCTTTTAAATGTAGGAGGAAATACAGGTACAGTTTAGCTCCCTGTTTTATTAGCCTCAGAGGCACTTCCTCAGCCTGGACAGAGAGACAGAGGAAATATAGGATTTCATAAACTAATAAACCTCAGAGGGAAAATCAATATGGTGGCTAGCCCTGCAAAAGCTCTTTTCCACAAATTTATAGACCATGGCAACAATCAATATCCTGAGTTTATAACCTGTTACAACTTGGAACAGGAGGAATCTTTGAAATGTCAGTTAACATTAGAGTATATTCAGAATATTTTGTTAAATAAACAATTATAGTCTGTAAGGCAGAGCTGGGGCATTTCTGTGTGAAGTTTGCAGATAGCCTCCCTGAGGATATGGCTAATTATCTGGCTCCAGTGTTATGCATGCTTAATTTCAAAACTGAAATGGCTATTCTGCTTATTGTCCTGCTCATTTATTTACTGTCACCCCTGTTTGTTCTGGCAAAGGCTAGGAAAACCCTTTTACAGTGATAGCACAAGATGATTTTCCAGTCATGTTATCTTCCTGTTGCTGGGGAAACACAATTTGCAGGGATTCATGGAGCACTAATCTGAAATTGACTGGCATTCCACAGCAAGGATACGGAAACTCACTATGAGACTTCTGTAGAGCCTCATTGTAACTGTAAATTAAAGCTTGAGTGGGTGACAACACAAATGAAAAACAGACCATCGAATAATATAAGATTATTTTCAGACATGCCAAATAGTAATGTTGTTAGGTATACCAAATTATATCCGAAGTTATAATATCTGCTTCTGAAATGGTCTCACAATTGAAATATGAACTCTATTTTAGAATATCCCTAATGCCCCAAGGGGCATGCTGGAAACTTAGCTAGGGGGATAGTTTGTCATCCCCCTTTGCATGCCAGAATCTATGCTAGTCTGAGGGCATTGGACAGTTGGCCTGTGTATAAACACTGTATGCTGCAAAGTGGTGGAAAATATAATAGCAATATAATGCTAAAATTGAAATTGGAAATGTAAACTTTCAACAACACAAAGAAAGAAAAATTTGGAACATTTAACTTATTAGGACATTCTAATAATTTCAATACAAATCACTCCTATCATGGCCAATAGATGTTTAATGTGTCTGTGTAACACAAACATCAAATGTGACAATGGACTGATTGTATTTCTAAAGATGTATTGGCCTGTGTATTCCTCTGCCTCACTTCAGATATCAATGGTGAACTGAACATTGTGCAGAAATTAAAATTATGCTTTAGGGCCTCCTTGTTACCATGGCAACACAGTCATCCAAATAGTCAAAACTCTTAAATTACCATATGGACTTTAAAGGGATAGCTCATTTATTTCTCAATTATTCTCCTGATATTAAAATTGCATTTCATCAGTAGAGTCACAGACAACCTCAGACCAAAGCCAAGATTTTCTCTTCTGCCAATTGATAGTCTATAAAAATAAGCTCAGTGCTGCTCAGTATTACTTAACATTTAAATTTCTATTAAATAATGTAAAAAACTGTACAACTGTTGAAAACGTCTGAGGTACTCAAAAGGGTAGTGATTTAAAAAGCCTTTAATATCTCATGGCTATTTACTCATAGTAGGAGTTAAAAAACATGCCTATGCGTTTCAGCCATTTAGGCCTTCATCACAGGAAATACAAAATGGTTCCCTTTAGGCTGTTCGCAAGTAGTCACATGATCAGTATGGTCAGGTAAGTCACATGATTAGTGTAGACAGGCAAAGTAACATGACAAAGCATGTTCAGC